TTTATTCCTGTATGTATAATATTGTATTGAGATTGTATTGTACTTTGATATCAACAAAATTATTTTTACATTAAAAACATAGTTTTTCCCAAGATAATGGACGCCATCTTGGAATTTGTCATGATGACGTCATCATTCCGATCAAATTTTTAAATGTGAGTGATGAGTAACTATTTAGCCAAGTTGTTGTTGCATTTCATATCCACAGTATATGTAAACGTGACCAAAAACATAAATTTAATTCCCCTGCCCCCATCTTAAATAGTTTAAAATAGGGTATTTTAGGCCAAAATTTTAAAGTTCTTTAAAAAAAATTGCCCAAGCCCTAGGCATGGGGATTTTTTTTCTGAGACACTATAGGGTATGCTGATTGAGAAAACCAAAAACTTAATTTTCCTTTACTTTTTTTCCACTAAAGTTCATTTCAGCAGCTTTACAACCAGGCCAGTATCAAGAACACAAGGAAGAAAGTATACTCTGCATTTTTCAAATTTTATTGACATTAAACTCCATGTACATAACATTTGTAAACCATCTACTATAGATTGTAGAATGATGGGTTTAACAAAATAATGTATGTACACTTCTTTATATTATATACATAAAAAACAATCATGCATACAGTACAGTTTTTCCATGTCTGTACTTAAAGTATATGACTTTACAAATGCTCAATACAGAGCACATCTAAACGTCATAAATTAAAATCAATCACATGAAAGCACCTAAAAACATCTGAAATATAATGGATCATTTGAAATTTGTTTTGGAACGATAGTTTTGAGAAAAAAGTTTTTATAAATTGAAATGGAAGCACCAATTACATTGTAAACACAACACTGCATTTAAAAAAGTTCTCTGTTTGCAGAGTCAGCCCATGGTGAAAATATTCAAAGATAAAACAAAATAATACAAATACAAAAGTCAGTCTTAATTTAGGGTTAGACTTGCATTACTTCTATAGTGTTTGGAAGAGTATAGGAGGACTTGAGCACAAATTTACAAACGGGTATTACAATCATAAATATAAACTCTGAATAAAGTTAATTTAGTTGCCCATGTAACTATAAAAAAAAAAAAAAAAAATATCCAAAAACATGATTGCAATTTGTTTAATTTTTACTTGATATACTGAATTTTTAAAGTTATTTTGTCGGGGAAAACTCAGAACTAGCAATACATTAAAAAAGAAAAACAATTTAAACAAGTTTCTAATAACATCATTGATTTGTAATTCTTACATTATAAATATATAATACAAATGGTCTGACAACCATCAACAATGATTAATAATGGAAAGCCTTGATAATAAATAGATACGTTAATTTATATAATTCTCTGGAATTTTAATTTTGTAATGTGAAGTAATATAATTTGTTTTATAAAACAAATTATGCTTAATTATCTCTTATAAAATGTATATATGGGCAGTGGTTGCCAAATTACTACTTACATTTTTAGAGAATTACTTTCATAAAGATGAAAAGTTGGGAGTACCAGTCATTATCTATTTTTGGAAGATAATTACTTAATTAATTTTTGGAAGATTGTACTGCTATTAAGAAATCACTGAAATCGAGAAATTGGGTGATTATTAGTGGCAATATTTAATTCACTACTTCGTGATATATTTGAAGATACAACAATGATTTTTCATGTTGTATGCAACTTTGTTGCTTACTCAGTGTTTATAATAATTTGTTGCATAAATGCTGGAAAAGTGTAAGTTAATCTTTTATATTTTAAAAGGCCAAATACAGCCATGGCTATATGCTGTATCTAATTGTCTGCCACAGGTGATAATTGCACAATAAATGTGTTACACTTCCCATTGTCTAGCCTCAAAGGTATTTGTAACTAATCGGGCTTATAACAGTATAAAAAGTATAACATGTAGGCACATCATAAATACAAGTCTTAAAAATGAATGTCAAACAAGATATATAACTGGACATGTGATTGTCTCATGCACTTAACTACATTTTTGTAAATAATATGTCAAATTTCTTCCACAACAGTAACTATCAACACAATTGTACAAAATAAATTACAGTAAGATTTAGGATTCTATCTTTCTTTTATGTTATTCAGAGCAAATGATCTCTACAGTTCAGTTGTCATAAGCGGGACATCAACAGGGTAATGTGCAACACTGCTTCCAAAGTACGGAAAAGCAACACGTTCAAATGCTTCATGTCCTTCATCACCTAGAGAAACAAAAATGAAAAATGCTAGAACTGCAACAGGACAATGAATTGGTACAAGTATTCCCTGTAGCTAAAGGTGTCACTTAAAAACAACCCAACTTACTTCAAACTGCTGCTATTGTGACCATGAATTCTAGAATGTGTACTACAAATATTATTCATCCCTCAAATACAGTGGCAGCACCAGCGTCTGAAATCTGGGGGCGCAAGTGAGGGGAAGGTACATTTTGGGGGGAAGGTACAT